TAATTTAATCAGCTTCTTCTTCTATCTCTCATATTTTATTTTTCTTACACTTTTTGACTATCACTAACAATGTCATGATGGAACGGTATCTGTGTACGTCATCACCTCTTTCACACCCGTTTCTTTAGAATAATTCCTTAAAGATAAGGATGCCAGGTCTCAAATTACAAAATTTGTTAATTTGCACAAGATTAAGGGGAATCTTTTAAATGTCTACTGTTTTTGGACAGTAGTAATCACCGGAGAAAAATCATTAGAATAAGACATGAGATCTTCATCCTCACAGTACAGTCTCACAAAGCTGCTCAATTTATGCCCCAACGCAGAGTACATACATGCCTTTCACCTGCAAGATGGTGTTTTATAAATTGCCTTGCAAAATTTTATATTTTATCTTATTTTATCACACTGGAGACAGAAAAGAACCCCAAACCTCCCACAAGTGGGGGCAAACACTTAGTCACCAAGACATACCTCTAAACCCCGAAATTTTTAAGATTTAGTTTTCATTTTTAAATGTGTGTGTATCTGTGTGTATGTGTGTATATCTGTGTGTGTTTGTGTGTCTGTATGTCTATCTCTGTGTGTATGTGTGTCATTTGTGTATGTGTGTGTATGTATGTATATGTGTGTGTATCTGTGTGTGTCTGTGTATCTATGTATGTCTGTATGTCTATCTCTGTGTGTATGTATGTCATTCGTGTCTGTGTGTCTATGTATATCTGTGTGTGTTTGTGTGTCTGTGTGTATATCTATGTATGTCTGTGTGTCTGTGTGTATGTGTGTCATTTGTGTCTGTGTGTCTATGTATGTGTGTGTGTGTGTGTGTGTCTGCCTGTGAGCTGCTGTACGAGTGAGTGAAGGTACCCGAGGATGCCAGAAGAGGGCGTTGACTGCCCTAAAGCTAAAGCACCCATGGTGTTTGTGAGCCGCCCAGTGTGGGTGCTAGGAACTGAACATGAGTCCCTGGGAGGACTCTTAACTGCTCAGCCATCCTCCCAGCACCAGACCCTGAGTTTGAAGCTGTGTTCCACTTACCAGTGGTTCCCTTTCACCGAAGTTCTTGAAAGTGGGCATGGAAGCCTCAAAACCTTCATGTAAACCTCGCATGATCCTGTCTTGGCGCCTCTGGGTGTGGAACAACCTGAACTTGGAGGTTCTGTTTGTCATAGCATCTATCTCCAAACAAGTGACTGTCTGAAATGACTTGGACAGAAACAACATGGGCCAGGGCAGGGGACTGGCAGAGACGGCTATGACATGCCTGCTGGTCTCACACTTTTCTTACCACCTCTGCCATTTTAGACAGAGAAAGAGATCTTCAGAAAGAACGAGAATGCGTGAGGACTCAGAAATTATTCTAAGTCATTAACAAAGAAAGAAATCTATCTCCTTTCAACACAAAGAGATCCCAAAATGTCATCCTCAGATCTGTACTGGAGAAAATCTGAACCATTGAAAATCATGCATTAACTATGGTCTCAAGATTGTCATCTCATCTTGACAGCTAAAAATACACAGGGACAGTCTGAAATGCTGCCGTTTTTATAACTAGTAAAATAGCTTCATTTTACTCCACAAAGGAACAGGCTCCTCTGAACAATGAGCAATATTAAATTTGCTGCTAACTCCCATCATGCACACACTGCCTTAAGGTCAGTATTTCCTCTAACTCTGCCAGGTCCAGCCCTGGCTGTAGTGACTTTGACTGCCCAGTCCCCAGAGCCCCAGGTCCTCACAGTCCTTGTCAGACAGTCCCTGCCCTGCCCCCACCATCCAGGGTCTTCCTCCTCCCTCCTGTGCTCCCATTTCTCCTGTAAACACAGCCCTGATTCCCACCCAAGCCATTTTAAGGCTAGCTTAGCCCAGAGTCCGGTCAGCCTCCTCTGCTGAGTCCAACACTTTCGTTTTGCTTTGTTTTTGATGATGCTTTTAAGTAAGGACTTGGACAAAAGAAACTGGCATTGGAAAGCAGAGGTGTGAAAATCGAAACTTCAGCATCAGAGGTGAGAAAAGCAAGGGAGGGAATAGCGAGACCCCTCAGGATCATCTCATTTGGGGAAAGGACACCTACGCTGCTGGCGGTCCCGGCCTTGTGTCCTCAGCATAGGCTCACTTATCTAACCTGAGCCAGTCATTTTCACAGTAATTCTGAGGTGACGCTCTGCCATAGGGTGTCCTCGTCCTGGCCTATCCATGGGATGGAGACTCCTTAAGAACCTTGCTGAATTTCAGAGTCCCCACCCCCACTCACTGTTATCCTCATCCAGTGCCGAGGCAGAGGCTCTGCCAGGGTGTGGGGAATGTCTGAGCCTGGGGCGTGGCTTTGGCCACAGCTGAGGCAAAGCTGGACTCTGATTTGGTTGCAGGTGAGGGTTTGGAAGGACTCAGGGATTTCAGCACAGGTGTGCTTAAGTGGAGTGATCAGCTGAGTGTTCAGGCATAAGAAGAGGGTCCCCATATTCCATGGCCAAAAGATGCCGTGCCATCACGTGGGAAGAGGCAGGCTTGGTTCTGAGCTGGCTCGGTGACTTTGACAATAAACACAAGGACAGCCTTCAGTAGCTTGAGTCAGCAGCAAGTGTCGAGGAAAGAGGGCAGGTTTGAGAAACTTGTTGCCAAGCACAGTTAGCTGCTCAGAGTACACTCTTGGTTTTTCCCCTAATTTTTGTGAGAATTGCATTAATGAATATTATATTTACGTCATGTCTACCCTCCAAACCCTCCCATGCCCCACCCAGACTCAAGACCTCCTCTTCTTTAGTTTGCATGTGGGTATGTTTAAGTCTGACCACTTGGAACCAGAGAGACCATCAGAGAGACCGTCCCTGGAGAAGACCATCTCTCCATTCTCAGCGGCCACTGGTTTCCTGTAGCTCTCAGTCCAGGAGCAGGCCTGTGCGATTTCACTAGTCATGCCGGCATGTCAACTGGCATGGCGGCATTATTCACATCTTGTTTAAGTGACCTTATTGTTTGTCTTTCCTGGGTGCAGCTTTCTTGTCCTGTCTAGAAGACACTGGCCAGTAGCTGGTTAGTCCTGATCTTCTTTCTTCTACAATCTTTCTGTCCCCTCTGCTACAGTTTTCCCTGGGGTTGCATTGTAGATGTATCAATCATACCCCACACTTTCATTCTGGGCGTTTTTGCAATAGTTTCTATCTGCAGCAAAAGAAGTCTCTTTGAGTGGAGGTGGGGGCTACACTTGTCTGTGAGCAAAAGGATACATATTTAGAATACAGTTAAAAGTCATATTGGTTTAGAATTCTTCTCACCAAAGAGTCTGGAAGTGAATGGACGGTATGTGGATTAAAGAATAAGGGTTGCTTTGTTTTTTAATCTCCTCACTCTCCTGAATAGGTAGGGAGCTCCTGCCACCTCTAGGATAAAATCTATGTTCCCCGGCTTAGTACATCCGAGTGCTAATTGCCCTGCCTACATGCCTAGCATTCTGCCAGCCCTAGATTCTAAGGGCTCTGCTCCAGCCCCTGAACACACCCCCTGAACACACCCCCTGAACACACCCCTGAACACGCCCCCTGAACACGCCCCCTGAACACGCCCCCTGAACACACCCCTGAACTCACCCCCTGAACTCACCCCCTGAACACACCCTCTCGGAGAGCATGGCCTGACCCTTCGTGTCCCTCTACTCTGTACTCCTGCGTGAACCTGCTCCAGGGGCAACTGTAACCACTGTGTAAATTGTGGGCTCTACCTGCTTCCTCTTTATCCTTTGAGGCTGCCCTACTAACTCCATGAGTGCTCCCCAATGGTCTCCCTCCCCACTGCAACACAAACCCACTGTATATTGGTTCCCAAAGAAAGATTACTGCATTGATTTAGAGGTCAGCAACTACATGGGTGGTGACATCCCGTGGTTTGGAGTTGGGTAATACTGAATTAATATCCTATGAACATTGTAAATGTGAACTACCAAAACCATCAAGTTTCTTGGGTATACTTAGGAGCAGATGGTCACAGAGCTAGCAATTGCCTCCAGAGCAAAGAAAGACTGTACAGAGAAAGTCCAGTGTGGCTTCATCAGAACAGCCTGTGGCTCTCAGTTCTGGTGAAGGTTCTCACTGGTGAGCTTGCTCTGGTCTCCACCTGGGTCTCCTGCCCAAAGAAAGGAACAGACCAGTCAGTTAGAACCACAGGCAAATCCTTTATTGTGTGATTTTCTAGATCTTTATTCCTTTTTTTCTTTTTTGTTTGTTTTGTTTTTCTAGACAGGGTCTTACTATATAGCTCCTGCTATCCTGGAACTGACTGTGTAGACCAGGCTGCCCTCAAACTCAACAGAGATCTGCCTGCCTCCCAAGGGCAGTTCTGGGCTTAAAGGTGTGCGTCACTATGTCTGGCAAGATCTTTATTTTTAACCTGAAGTTATACATTTAAAAAGTTCTAAGCTGGGCGTTGGTGGCCCATACCTTTAATCCCAGCACTCGGGAGGCAGAGGCAGGTGGATCTTGGTGAGTTCGAGGCCAGCCTCCAAAACAATACAGAGAAACCCTGTCTCGAAAAACCAAAAAAAAAAAAAAAAAAAGAAAGAAAAGAAAGAAAGTTCTAAATTTATAGTGCTGTTTTTGTATATTTGATAATTTGTTTGAACCTATTAAAGAGTTGGCAAAACTTCATGTTTATTGAACAAAAATAGCATTGTCCAGTTACTCCAGAATGAATCTGGTGTCTTACATATTAACTTTTTCAACCCCGCCTAGAAGTGAAGAGCTTGGCATTATCCCCATTGTCATAGAACAGTTTCTAACGTTGGTAAAGATGGTAACCATCCCAAGACATTAACAGCTTACCCTACCTTTACCCCAAGAAGCTGTAGGATGAATGACTTTTAAAAGAAAACTGAAAACATACCAAAAATACACATTAAGTTTGGAATAGACTTTATCCACTGGTACAGAGCACACCACAGATGTATTTGTTCCATTGGATATTGACTGAAGCCTTTTCTCTCTACAGATTTTTACCCTGGATCTCAACACGTGGAAGTGACTCTTCCAGTCTCGGGATGACACCTGCCTGACAGTTGCCATCAGGTCCTGTGAGGCTCTGAGGGGGAATAAGAATGTTAGTGGAGGTCAGGGAGGCCTTAGAGACCCTCAGGTGAGAACACCGCCGGGCACAACGCAGCCGGAAGGTAAGGAGGGGCAACTCGGCCGGCAGTGGTGGAGGGGGGCCACGTGCCCCTTGGGGACTCCCACTCAGGGCATTCTGGCGAGAGCAGGCTACAGGTGTCGGGAGAGTCAAATAATGCCAGCATATTGTAATGACCCTGTAGCTGGAGGGTCCGGCGAAGAGGAGAGTACCAGGCTCACATCCGCACAGCGGGCAAACACTGGCTGGATGGAGAGCGTGGCGGGGAGTCTTTGGTTATATGCTATCGTGGATTTAAAATAGTCCCACGGCAAACTGACCGATTTAATCATTTTCTTCTCAAACTAACGTGCGCCTGTCACACGCCTCACAGGAAGGACACCCCTGACACGCTTCAGAAGCTGTGGTAGTCCCTAGCTTTCCTTAAACACACAACTAAGAGACTAACGCCTCCCATTGCTAGAGGCATCTTTGTACTTTCTACAACGCTGGCTCTCTCTAGCCCCTTGTGCTACTGTGTTAGTCTGTCAGACACTTTGTGTTGGGTGGGGGTGTGCCCTGATGGCTTTCTCTAGCGTGCCTGGCCGTTGCTTTTTATCTGAAAGAAAGAGCTGCAAGAATTCAATGGGTTATTTATTAAACAGCCAGTCCTGCCTTGAGAGATTTCTTTTTTTTTTCCTTTTGAGTGTTTAATGATGATTCTTCTCTTGGATGCTCACCGCATAAAAGCAGTTACAGTACCGAAACACTCGGGCCATTTTAAAATAATACACTTTAGAACTCTGATTTGAGATAAGGTAGGCTTTTATTAACAAACAGCAAATCTCATTTTCTCAATATTTTCCCTCTGAGAAGTCAAAACCAAGACTTGGGGGCCGTATTTGGGCCACCGCAAACCCAGGTGACATGAGCACAGCATTCACTGTCCTGCTCTGTCTTCTGGGAGAACTAGGGGCCCCTTCCCATGCGGCTGATGAGCAGCAAAGCTGTCGCTCCATAATGTCAACTAATTTGCGCTGGATGCGGGACAGTGTGAAGACCCCGCGGGTGACACCGGGACGAACAGCTCTCAGCTGCCAGGTGTAATTACTTGCTTTGTTTGACAGATGATCACAGGCTCTGAGGTCCCTTGTCCCAGGTTAAAAGCTTCAGTGAATGTGTCATACACATAGTCCTCAATGGGCAGGTCCCCAGCTGACAGTGGCCTGGCTGTAAACTATCTGAGGGAAGACGGGCTTTCTGAAGAGAAAGTGTGTGGAGGGGTGCTAATATAGCATGTGGGGAGTGAATGTGCTCTGTGGGCAAGGGCACGGCCATGTCAGGGACTCCGATACCTCAGACCCATGGAAACAGCAAGGCCTTCCCCAGGTCAGCTCAGAGCAATGGCTGGTTCTTCCCCTGATCTGAGGATGGGTACTGGCTGTGTGTGCGGCAGTATCACCGGAAGCTTCCAAGGGAGGATGCTGAGAGTGTGTGATGACTGCAGTGGAGACTGCCCATACACAGGCCTCCTACAGGGACCAGGACACAGGGACCAGGACCCTGCTAATCAGGCCTCCTACAGGGACCAGGACCCTGCTATGCAGGCCTCCTACAGGGACCAGGACCCTGCTAATCAGGCCTCCTACAGGGACCAGGACCCTGCTATGCAGGCCTCCTACAGGGACCAGGACCCTGCTAATCAGGCCTCCTACAGGGACCAGGACTGCCCCGTACACAGGCCTCCTACAGGGACCAGCACCCTGCTACACAGGCCTCCTACAGGGACCAGGACCCTGCTACACAGGCCTCCTACAGGGACCAGGACTGCCCCGTACACAGGCCTCCTACAGGGACCAGGACCCTGCTACGCAGGCCTCCTACAGGGACCAGGACCCTGCTACACAGTCCTCCTACAGGGACCAGGTAACCCAGCTCCTCCTCATCTGTGCTGGTTACCCGCTGCTCGGAGTCCGTCAGGATGCACAGCCCACTCACCCCAGCTTTCCTGTACACCTGTCTGTCACTTAAAATTTCCTTTCAGCCCCATCAGGTCAATCCAAACCATACAGGTCTCAGTACAAAGAGTTGGGTTCCTAACAGCAACAACCACACCCATGTTACAGACCAATCAGAGGGTTGATGTGGACATGCCCACATTAAAAATAACACTGGGTGGTAATTGTTAGGTCAGCAGAGGCAGCCATTAGGGTCACTAGCATATCTATATTGGGTATGATTTATTGTATTTTGCCACAAAATTAGCTCCCTTTCTGGATGCTGTTGCAAGGAATTGTGCCTGTTAATTCATAAAAGATAGAGAGAAACAGAAGGATATTTAGGAATAAGTCTCCCAGGAAATGACAGCTTGTTGGGAATTACAGCTTTTGTAAAAAGAAAATAAAAGCCAGAGTTAAATCATTGTGCTTTTCAAGCTTTCTGCTTCCCAAAATAGAGTTGCCTGCCTTTCTAAAGATAAACACTTTGAGCGTCTGGATTTAAATGGATACAGTTTCTAATTATCTTCAGTCAACATCTGGGTGTGGCTTGTTTTTAAAGAGGAAAATATGTACTTAGACAGTTACATTTTAGAAACTTTCTTGGAACTCCCCACTCAGCATTACTGATATGTAATTGATAAATGTTGATTGTGTGGTGACATAGTCTAGGTAGTTAAATTTTTGTCACACATAGTGGCTCTGTGTGTGTGTATGTGTGTGTGTGTCTGTGTGGTGTGTGTGTGGTGTGTGTGTGTGTGTGGTGTGTGTATGTGTGTGTGTCTGTGTGTGGTATGTGTGTGTCTGTGTGTGGAGTGTGTGTCTGTGTGTGTGTGTGTCTGTGTGTGGTGTGTGTCTGTGTGGTGTGTGTGTGGTGTGTGTGTGGTGTGTGTGTCTGTGTGTGGTGTGTGTGTGTCTGTGTGTGGTGTGTGTGTGTCTGTGTGTGGTGTGTGTGTGTCTGTGTGTGGTGTGTGTGTGTCTGTGTGTGGTGTGTGTGTGTCTGTGTGTGGGGTATGTGTGTCTGTGTGTGGTATGTGTGTACGTGTGTGTGTGTGGTATGTGTGTGTGTCTGTGTGTGGTATGTGTGTGGTATGTGTGTACGTGTGTATCTGTATGTGGGGTGTGTGTGTCTGTATGTGGGGTGTGTGTGTCTGTGTGTGGGGTGTGTGTGTCTGTGTGTGTGGTGTGTGTTATGTGTGTATGTGTGTGTGGTGTGTGTGTCTGTGTGGTGTGTGTTATGTGTGTGTATGTGTGTGGTGTGTGTGTGCCTGTGTGTGGTATGTGTATGTGTGTCTGTGTGTGGGGGCGTGGGAGATGTTGAGAACACTTCAGGTCTACTCTCTCAGCAAATTTCAAGCTAATAACAGGCTAATTGGAGTTTGCAATGCACCTGGAAGGTGGTGGTTGCTCCCTGGGAGAAACTCCACCACTGACCCAGCAAATGGAACAATTATTCTCACAGCACAGGCTAAGGAAGGAAGAGACCAGTGTCTTGTGCAGAGTACATAGCAAGAAGAAAGGAGACACTGAGAGCAGGAAGGAAAGAATGCATCCCCATCCTCCCCAGACCCTAAATTGTCTGGTCTGAAGAAAGCCACCTCTAGCTAGGACATGGGTGGGAATTAAGTGCAGGCCACACCTGCCACAGAGAAGCCCAGTGTGGGAGAGGCTCCACGACCCTTACTGCCAGGTCCGTCCTCAGCAACTGCCATCCTTCCACAAGTGGAACCCCCACCCCCATAGAGTATGGAGCAGACAAGGGGTGCTCACCCATGGTGTCATCTCAGAGCCCAGAGGCAAGCTTGCCCTGGGGATACTCAGCACCAGCAGAGCCCATGAGGAGCCTCTGGACCAGCTCACCATCCTCACCCTTAGGCAAAGCTCTGTGTCTGCTCTCAGTTCTCTGAGGTTGCCCTGTTTTGTTCTCAGTCTTGAACAGGGCTGGGGACACCGTACCTTCCTCCTGAGACTGCAGCTCTGTAACTGAGAATTGGGCTCTGCCAAGCTGAGCAGCAGGAGGCTTCCTTAGGATGAGTACTTGGTACTCAGGGTCACACCCAGTACTTGGGTCACACTCAGGATGGCTGGACCAAGTGTAGGTCTGTCTTCAGGTTTCTGGGAGCCCTGTGCTGTTTCCCACAATGCTGTTTCTGATTTACATCCCTCAGCAGTGCAAGATCCTGGCTCTCCACACTTTTTCCATACTTAGTAGCTCTTAGCTTGCACCAGCTCTTTCCTTACAAGTGTAGCCTGATACTCCATTGTGGTGATATTCCATCATGGTGAGATACTCCATCGTGGTGATACTCCATTGTGGTGAGATACTCTGCTGTAGTGATACTCTGCTGTGGTGATATTCCATTGTGATGATACTCCATCGTGGTGATACTCCATCGTGGTGGTATTCCATTGTGGTGATACTCCATCGTGGTGATACTCCATCGTGGTGATATTCCATCGTGGTGATATTCCATCGTGGTGATACTCCATCGTGGTGATATTCCATTGTGGTGAGATACTCCATCGGGGTGAGACTCCATCGGGGTGAGACTCCATTGTGCTGATACTCCATCGTGGTTTGGGGGTTACTGATGTTGAGCCCATTTTCATGTACCTGCTATCATGTGTGTCTTCTTTTGAGAAGTAGTTATTGGGTTTCTTTGCCCTTGTGATAAAGTTTAAGTAGCCACATAATAGTTAGGTATATTAATGGAGTACTATATGATGATACATATAGTGTTACGCATACATAGTGTTATCACAAAATCAGAAAAATGGTGATTTCCATCCCCTTAAACAGCTGTCCTTCCTCTTCCTACTTTAAAACTGTTGTCTCTGGTTTTGGACATTGAGTTGAAGTTCCTAATATGTTTCGGATATCAACCTGTTATTAGATCAGTCTTCAAATGCAACACTCTGCGGCAGTTAGAGGCCAGTTTATCCTAACCTCTGCATCATCACGTATTGATTTTGGGTGACAAAAATAACATGTCTCTTTGGACTCTGAGCTGTCCATTTTTGCTTTGTGCTAGATAATGTTTCTGTGTTGACTTATTGCACCAACAGA